ACCTTGTGCCTCTCCTGGCTTTGCCACCAAAGGGCTGGGCACACCAAGCTTGCAGAACTGAATTAAATCAGAGAACCATCTTGCCGCTTACATGAATTTCCCAGGTAGCAGTTTTAAGCCCCTCAAGCTTCTCTTAAGATGCCTTTGGCTGGACACAGTAGCTCACACCTGTAATCTCAGTAGTTTGGGAGGCCGAGGCGGGTGGATCACTTGAGGCCAGGAGTTTGAGACCAACCTGGCCAGCATGGTGAGATGCCATCTCTACTAAAAATACAAAAATTAGCCTAGCCTGGTGGCACACGCCTGTAATCCCAGCTACCAAGGAGGCTGAGGCAGGAGAATCACTTGAACCCGGGAGGCGGAGGCTGCAGTGAGCAGAGATGGCACCACTGTACTCCAGCCTGGGTGACAGAACGAGACTATGTCTCCAAAAAAAATGTTTGTGATGAAGTGCTCATTAAAATGAATAATGCATTCTTCACATAATACGCTAACCTCAATTTAACTTCTACTGGATGGTTTGGGGTCACCAGGCTCACTTATCATGTCACTGTCCAAAAGCACAGGGGTGCCCATGGTGTGGCGTGTGGCATTGGAGGTCCCCACGCCCAGGGTCTCAGGCCTCGATGCCATGCTTGTGCTCAGTGTCATTTCTGTGTCCTCCCTAGCTGTCAGTGGTCACCTCTTGCTGCTCATCACTCCATAGTCTGTACCACAACTTCAAATCTGCTATGAACCGAAAAACCTGTTAGAACTGTGTGCAAAGCAAGAATAAACAGGACCTGACTGAAAACTCTTGAAGCTCTCCTTTAAACAGGGTGCATGGGAGTGGGCTCATCCAGCCTGGGGCTCAGGGAAGATTTTCCCGTCCTTCTAGGTTCCAGCTGTGCCCTACAAAGTCAGAGCTGCCCTCCTAGAAGCTCAGAGAGCAGCGGCGCCCGACACGCACGTGGTGATGAGGAGCTAAGTCCGGGGGCGGGGCTGCGGTGCTGAACACACGGAAAGCGGCTGCTCTGGGGCTCCACCATGAAGCCCAGCAGCGCTCAGCAAAGCCAAAGCCGCGGGAGAGGCTTTTGAAAGTTCCGTGAAATCCTGTGGCTCCAAACATGTTCCCCTCAGCTTCAATCTCCTTCACTTAGGAAAACAGAGCTCTCAAGGGAGCCTTTGCAAGAAACAAACCGGGGCTAGTGCTGAGCACTCATTTTGACAGTTACAGCAAGGACCCGGAGAGAGAGTTTTCAAAGCAAAATGGAACCCAGGGGCCCTTCACCTGGAGACTCACTGTGAAATCGGCTCTGATTCCAAATACCTTGTTTTCACCCAGTTATGCCTTAGGAGGAAAGGTCGTGGCTCTTTCTCTCTATCCAATTAAAACACTCTTTTGCTTTTTTTTTTTTTGAGATGGAGTCTCACTCTGTTGCCCAGGCTGGAGTGCAGTGGCACTATCTCGGCTCAGTGCAGCCTCAGCCTCCCAGGCTCAAGCAATTCTCCTGCCTCAGCCTCCCGAGTAGATAGGATTACAGGCGCCCAACACCACACCTGGCTAATTTTTGTATTTTTAGCAGAGAGGGGGTTTCACCATGTTGTCCAGGCTGGTCTGGAACTCCTGACTGTAGGTGATCCACCCGCCTTGGCCTCCCAAAGTGCTGGGATTACAGGCATGAGCGACTGAGCCCAGCCTTCCAAGAAAAGGTTTTTAACAACAGAGTATAACAGTACTTGCTTTACATTCAAGAGTTTGGACTGCACATCTGTTTGGTGTGCATAAACACATACATTATTATTACATTTATTAGGCCACATCTGTTAGGGGCATGTGCATACATTTACTTACAGAAAAAAAGATGGAAAATCTACAGATCAAATGCTATTTTGTGGTTATCTCCAAGTGTGCAATCATGCAATAAAGAAATGATTTCTTCTTTATATTTTTGTTTTCCAAGTTTTTTTTCTTGAGCATGCGTGATGCTTACAGTTGGATAAAAATTATTATTATTATTATTATTTTTTTTTTTTTTTTTGAGACGGAGTCTTGCTCTGTCACCCAGGCTGGAGTGCAGTGGCCGGATCTCAGCTCACTGCAAGCTCCGCCTCCCGGGTTTACGCCGTTCTCCTGCCTCAGCCTCCCGAGTAGCTGGGACTACAGGCGCCCGCCACCTCGCCCGGCTAGTTTTTTTGTATTTTTTAGTAGAGACGGGGTTTCACCGTGTTAGCTGGGATCGTCTCTCGATCTCCTGGCCTCCTGATCTGCCCGTCTCGGCCTCCCAAAGTGCTGGGATTACAGGCTTGAGCCACCGCGCCCGGCCGGATAAAAATTATTTTTAAAAATTTTTCTGAGGCTGGGCGTGGTGGCTCTTGCCCGTGATCCCAACACTTTGGGAGGCCGAGGCTGGAGAATCGCCTGAGCTCAGGAGTTCAAGAACAGCCTGGGCAATATAACGAGAGCTCATCTCTACAAAAAAAATACAAAAATTAGCTGGGAATGGTGGCGCACACCTGTGGTCCCAGCTACTTGGGAGGCTGAGGTGGGAGGATCACTTGAGCCTGGGAGGCCAAGGTTGCAGTGAGCCGTGTTCATGCCACTGTGCTCCAACCTGGGCAACAGAGGGACACCTTGTCTCAAAAATAAATAAATAAATAAATAAATAAATAAATAAATAAATAAATAAATAAAATTCTTTGTCATTAAGAAAAAAAAAAAAACAATCAGCCTCTGTCCCCTGTGTTTCTTCCTTTCTGTGCTGGCTAAGCCTCCCGCTGAATGAGTCGAAGGGGCATGCCTAGTCATAAGGTCCAGCTCCATTCTGAGCTGTTGGGCAGGTGAGCCGGATCTCAGAGCCTGCAGTGCTACCACATGGAGTCAGAACTCTCCCATTCCTCATCCTACCTTGGCTCCCGCAGTCCTGGGAAGTCAGATGACCTGCATTCACAAAGCCTTTCCAATCCCTCTGCTCCAGGGGCCTCTCCGAGCTTTGAGAGACATCAAGAGGCTGCCCAGGAGCCTGACAGAGCAACACAGACCACGGGGGTCACAGGGGAGCATGGTCTTTGAAGGCAGATGGACTAGAAGGAATCTGGCTTCCAGCACTTTCTGCTCCCTGCATGACTTAATGGTAACAAACCACTTAATCTCCCTGAACCTTGCTTTTCTCATCAGCAAAATGAGAATAATAATACTCACTGGAGATAAAATGAGACAGTACACACCAAGTGTGGCATCAGGCTCAAATGGGCAATCCTAAATGGTAGTTAGGGCCAGGCGTGGTAGCTCACGCCTGTAATCCCAGCACTTTGGGAGGCCGAGGCGGGTGGATCACTTGAGGCCAGGAGTTCGGGACCAGCCTAGTCAACACGGTGAAACCCCATCCCTACTAAAAATACAAAAAAATTAGCCGGGCGTGGTGGTATAAGCCTATAATCCCAGCTGGTAGGGAGGCTGAGGCAGGAGAATCGCTTGAACTCAGGAGGCGGATGTGGCAGTGAGCTGAGATGGAGTCACTGCACTCCAGCCTGGGCCACAGAGTGAGACTTCATCTCAAAAAACAACAACAACAACAACAACAAAACCCAGAAAGTCCAGGTGCAGTGGCTCACACTGGTAATCCTAGTACTTTGGGAGGCTAAGGTGGGTGGATCACTTGAGGTCAGGATTTCGAGACCAGCCTGGCCAACATGGTGAAACCCTGTCTCTATTAAAAATATAAAAATTAGCCAGGCATGGTGGCGGGCACCTGTAATTCCAGCTACTCAGGAGGCTGAGGCAAGAGAATCGCCTGAACCTGGGAGGCGGAGATTGCAGTGAACCAAGGTCGAGCCATTGCACTCCATCCTGGGAGACAGAGTAAGACTCGGTCTAAAAAAAATAATGCCGGGCACGGTGGCTCACACCTGTAATCCCAGCACTTTGGGAGGCCAAGGTGGGCGGATCATGAGGTCAGGAAATCGAGACCATCCTGACTAACACGGTGAAACCCTGTCTCTACTAAAAATACAAAAAGATTAGCTGGGTGTGGTGGCGGGCGCTTGTAGTCCCAGCTACTCGGGAGGCTGAGGCAGGAGAATGGCATGAATCCGGGAGGCGGAGCTTGCAGTGAGCGGAGATTGTGCCACTGCACTCCAGCCTGGGCGACAGAGTGAGACTTTGTCTCCAAAAAAAAGGAACAAAAACAAAACCAAAAACGAAATGGTACTTAGTGCTGTCATTATTGAGAATACCGAGAGCACAGTGGTCTGTACAGGTTCTCAACCCTGGCTGCACTTTAGAGTGTCTTAGGGAGCTTTGAAAAGATTCTGAGGACTAGGCTGGGGTCAATATCCCCATATGGCTACAGTCACAAAAACTGCCTTTTCACCATACATTCCACTCCCTTTGCCACCGCAAATCAACGCCCATGCATCCTTCCTACTGGCTCAAAGTCACCACTTCCAGGAGGCCCACTGCAAGTCTCCTTTAATAGCCAAATGTGAATCAGAATTCACATAGAATATGCTGCCCGATGCTAACCTTTTCATTATGACTCGGGCTACATGACGAACTATTAATAGCTTACAGTATGGGGCCACTAAAAGTATGTGGCAGTGTCTGGATATTTGCACAGAAACAGCCTGTTTCTCCTGCCACTTTGAGTTCTCCTGCTTGCTTTCTGGAGTTTTCCATCTATTCTTACCTTCAGCAATTATAGGTTGCTTTCTCAGTACAGGCTCCTCAAATAGCTCCAGCCCCCGCTCTAATCTGGATAGAGAAGGCAGATAAACCTGCCGGTCCAAACTGTGTGTAGACCAAGAGTAAACAGGCCTGGGGAGACTCCTGTGGGGCAAATCTCGAGCTTAGAATTCCAGTCCCCACTGTCCCCAACCATGGCCCCTCAGTGTACCTCGGTCTGCCCGGCCGGATGAGATGGTTTCCCGGGAGTCTAACATTGGGTGTTTCACTAAATTCTTCCAGGCCTGGAATTAATGTAGGTTTTCAAATCAAGGCGCAGGCAGGGAAGTCAGGTTACCTGGTCCTGGAGTTTCTGGAACATCAGAGGGTGCGGTTCTTCCAGGATCTTCTCGTTGAGCCGAGACTGCCCCTCCACGTTGACCTGTGATGAGGCCTTGCTGGACAGAAAGGTCATGTAGATCTCCTTTGCCTTTTCCTGCATCTGGAGGAGACAGATGGGGCCTGTGTGCTATCTGCACACACAGCCTTCCCAGCCTGAGCCCTGCTCTCCCCTCCAGCCAGGCCCACAGGAGCTGCTGTGGCAAGAGAAAGGCACCCCCCACAGCCCGGGGGCTCTCAGGCCACTCCAGAGATAATTTCTATATAGGATAACTTGCACTGCCAAGCCCCTACCCCGCAGCCACATCTCCTGGAACAAAATTGCTGCATTAACCATCCAGAAGCCATGACAGAAAGAATCCTGGCCCGCAGAGAGCACTCAGTACCATTTACAACCATCCTGTGGCCGGGCACAGTGGCTCACGCCTGTAATCCCAGCACTTTGGGAAGCCAAGGCAGGTGGATCACCTGGGGTCAGGAGTTCGAGACCAGCCTGGCTAACATGGTGAAACCCCATCTCTACTAAAAACACAAAAATTAGCCAGGCATGGTGGTGCATACCTGTAATCCCAGCTACTTGGGAGGCTGAGGCAGGAGAATAGCTTGAACCCAGGAGACAGAGGTTGCAGTGAGCTGAGATTGCACCACTGAACTCCAGCCTGGGCGACAGAGTGAGACTCCATCTCAAAAAAAAAAAAAAAAAAAAATCAAGTGAAAGTATGCACGCCTATCCCTACCAGTTATCCAGTGCCCACTAGGCCGTAGACACCTGCTTGGAGGCATCCCATTTCCTTAATCCCCTGGACATGCAGCAAAGGGCATTTTCCTGTTAGTGCCACTTTCCCCATGAGGACACAGAGGTCAGGAGAGGTGGCGTGGCTTATCCGAGAGCTTCTGGGAGCCTTAGGACTGTTTGGCTCCAAGGCCTCTGAATTCTGCTCAGTTCCACTTCTGCAAGACACATCGGCCCCTCCAGGTTGTGCGGTCTGCGGCCTTCCCAGGCAGGGTGATTTCCTTTTAGGTAACGAGATACCGAGCACAGGCAGTGGAGAAAACACTCGCTGCCCGCCCTCAAGTCCCGAGTGCAGTCCTGCTGGGAAGCAGGAGCCCTGATAGGTACCGGCTTCCTGTTTCACCCGAAACTAACCGAGGCGGGCTCAGGAGCACTCACGGATGGTAAGGAGATGACTTCACAGTAAGAACTGTGTCTTCAGGACAGCACGCCTCAGGGCGAGGCTGCAGGCGCAGGAGCCTTCTCCAGAACCTCCCCTGAGGGCTCGATTTTCTTTTAGAGAAAGGAGACTTCCTGTGCTCATACCTCGCCAACAGCAAAAACGGGGCTGTTTCTCTGAACGTTAGACTCTAAAGCATGACCTTACCTTACAGAGCAAGGCAGACAACAAATGCCTCTAAAATGCAGTCACACAGCTACGACATATGTGTGCAGGGGCGCCTGGAAAACTGCCTTTCTCTCCAAGAGCCCACCTGGGGCTCCACATGTGCTGTGGCGCTTGGTTTGGGAAATCCCAAGCTCTGCAAATCTTCTTCCCTTAAGGAAACCACCAGAAGGTTTTGATAGCTGGTGCATGAAAGGAAGGAAGAGGATCCCTTTTTCAGTTCAGGGCACTGAGGACAAAAGATCCTGAGAAGCCGCGGCCTGGCCATGTCCTGTTCTGCGAGAAAGCAAGCCTCGCCAGCACTTGCAGGGAGATGGCCCAGGCTGGGTGCACACCGAAAGCCATGCTGTCCACCCTGCCTTTACTGTCAATAGGAGCAATGAATTGATGCCAGACTCAGTGACACAGGAGTCTCTCCAGACAAGCGTGGCTATTTAAGGGACAGGTCTGGGGGCCATCCTCGAGACCCAAGGGGGTGGCACTTAGGAGCTGGCCCTGCTGTCCTCTCTAAGACCCACCAGCTCCATGAAGCCACAGCCTCCCTCCCACCACCCCCATTCCGTCAGGAAGCGACGCTTTTGGAAAACCACTTCCTGTGTTAAAGCCACTTAATGAAAGGAGAATTTCAGCCAGGCAGATGAGCAAACTCCATGCAGAGGTCTGGGGGTAGAAATCACTTTAGACCTCCCCTCCGCTTGAACATTCATATGTACACACGCACACGCACACACATGCACACATGCACACACATACACACATGAATCCAGGATATCTTGAGTGATTCTGAAATAGAAAAGTGCAATGAATGGCTTGAGTCTTTGAGGTGGGGCAGAAGGGGCCGGGGGAAAGGAAGTAGGTTCCGGTGACTGCAGGTAGATAAGCCTTGAGGATCTCAGCCCTGCCCTCTCCCACCGGCTGTCCCTCCCGAGTCTGTGTGAGAACAGTGTCGGGGTCCAGGCCCTGGCTGACCAGATGCGGACCGTAAGCGGCTGCAGGGCTCAGCTTATCTCGGCGGAGCTAGGAAGTGTGACTGAAAAGGGAAACCCTGAGACGGCGACCACAAGCCAGTCACGGGAAGGCCTGGTGTCCAGACCGAGAACAGGAGCAGAAAAGAAGAACCAGTCTCTGGAGCTATTTTGGTAGATTTTTCCAGAGCTTTGTTAACCCTATTCTAGCTACTGTCAGGGCAGGCACAGAGCTGGTGGAGTTGATTCTGTGTCTGTGGCCTGGAAGGATGGCTGACTTCTCTTCCACGGCCCTGACACACGTGGCTGGCCACAGCCTGGACCAGAGAGCCCCTTTCTCCCTGGGGAGACCCGAAGTGTCCAGCATCTGAGGCTATCCTGGCAGGCACTGGAGAAGGGTCCCACCTGAGCCCATCCACTCGGGGACTGCCCATAAAGCACCTGCACCCCAGTGAGCACCTTCCAGGCACCCCACAAGGCTGGGGCCCTTCTTCGAGGCCTGGCAGTGCCTCAGCTGTGACAATGCTCAGCCAGACGCCAGCTCTCGAACCCCACTCCCATCCCATCTGCTGGCCTCCGGCTCCCCTCCACCCTGTCTTCTTCCACAGATGGAATGTGGGAGATAATTCCTAGGAAAATGAAAGGATCAAGACACTAACTTTACTAATATCAATTTCAGAAAGAGAAAGAGGCAAAGAAAATATCCAATAAATGATACGAGAATATTTTCAAGAACTGGCTCAGGAAACGGGAAGCAGTCGGAGGAACAGCAGATGACTTGGCAGAGACTCAGAAGAATGAACCCAAGCCCCTGCACGGGTGAGGAGGGGGTGCCGACGAGAAGCGTGTCCAGACGGCAGGAGCTCGAGGGCATCGGGTAGCCCAATGGAATTGATGAGGGTGGCAGAAAGAAGCCATCAGACCTCCAGGTCCTCCACTCCCACCACCAACCCTGAGCAGACAGGTGGCTCCCTCCCCACCTTCAACAGAAGAGTCAAGTTTTCTTTTCTAAAGAAACAGACCCAGGGAGTCTCCAGAACAGAGGCACAGAGGATGGCAAGAATGAGATTCCGAACACAATAAAGGGATTCAGGGAAATTCCAAATATAGACCCCCTAGGAAACTTCTCCTGAAAGTTAATTAGAAATATGTTCAGTTTAGGAACATCTCAGCCTTGTGGCCCCCCAGGAACAGACTAGAGGGCCCTTGTCTGGAGAAAACAAAAAAGCAGGAAAAACTCAATAGGAGGATCTGAAGATAAAGTCAAAATCTCCAAAAGCCAAAAAAAAAAATTTAAAAAATAGGAAGAATAAAACATGAAATTAAGGGCTCAATGCATTGGTGAAAGGTCATCATTGGAAAAGAGACCAGAGACAATGGAAGGAAAAAAAGTTACCAAAATGATGATAATAATAATAACAACATAAGACCATTTCCTGGAACTACAGATTTCCAGATTATAAGGCTCCACAAAGAATTCACACAATGAATGAACCCACCTCTGCCTCCAAAGCCCCGGACTGAAGAGTTTTAGAATACTAGTGATGAAAAGATCCTGGCCAGGTGGAGTGGCTCACACCTGGAATCCCAGCACTTTGGGAGGCTGAGGAGAGAGGATTTCTTTTTTTAAAATTAATTAATTAATTAATTAATTTTTTTTTTTGAGACGGAGTCTCACTCTGTCACCCAGGCTGGAGTGCGGTGGCGCGATCTCGGCTCACTGCAAGCTCCACCTCCCGGGTTCACGCCATTCTCCTGCCTCAACCTCCCGAGTAGCTGGGACTACAGGTGCCCACCACCACACCCGGCTAATTTTTTGTATTTTTAGTAGAAACGGGGTTTCACCGTGTTAGCCAGGATGGTCTCGATCTCCTGACCTCGTGATCCGCCCGCCTCGGCCTCCCAAAGTGCTGGGATTACAGGCGTGAGCCACCGCACCTGGCCGGAGAGAGGATTGCTTAGGAATGAAAATTTCTTTTCATTCCTAAGCAACATGGTGAGACTGCTTAAACCCAGGAGGTCCAGGCTGCAAAGAGCCATGACCTCACTATATTCCAACCTGGGTGACAGAGTGAGACCCTGTCTCAAAAAGAAAAGAAAATTGCTGGGCGTGGTAGTTCACACCTGTAATCCCAACACTTAGGAAGGCCAGGGCATGTGGATCACCTGAGGTCAGGAGTTTGAGATCAGCCTGACCAACATGGCGAAACCCCGTCTCTATTAAAAATACAAAATTAGCTGGGTGTGGTGGAGGGCGCCTGTAATCCCAGCTACTTGGGAGGCTGAGGCAGGAGAATCGCTTGAGTCTGGAAGACAGAGGTTGCAGTGAGCTGAGATCATACCATTGCACTCTAGCCTGGGCAACAAGAGCAAAACTCCATCAAAAAAAGAAAGAAAGAGAGAGGGAGAGAAAGAGAGAGGGAGGGAGGGAGGGAAGGGGAAAAATAGAAAAGGAAAGAAAAGAAAATAGATCCTGTACTATCCCGGAGAGGGAAAAAAAGAAAAAAAAAACAGAACAGTTTACATATAAATTACTGATTCTCAACAAAAGTAGAAGACTAAGAGACGATGTCTTCAAACTTCTAAGTGTGTTTCACCCCAGAATTCTACGATCTGTCAGATTTTCAGTAAAGTAGGAGAGTAGGGGAAAAAATAACATTTCCACTCAACAAGGTCTTTACATATCTACCTGCCAGACCCCCTTCTCTGGAAGCTATTGCCGGCTGTGTTTTGGGCTCTTCTCTTGTGAGTCATTCTGGAGGGAAGAAGTCATTCTCGTGTGCTGTTCCCAAAATGAGGGAATGACTCAGGAGAGAAGAGGACTTGGATCCAGGAAATGGAATGCCTTCGTCCTCCAAAGAGGAAGGAAGTTCACCATGTGTCAGGCATGGGTCTAGACTCTCGGAGACAGTGGGGAAGAAGAGGCCCCCCACTCCCAGATCCCAGAAGACAAACCACACAGAAGATGGGCAAGTAAATGACATGGATACGCAAAGTTGGTGTTAAAACAACGGAGGCGAGAGTGGGATTTGTATCGACCCCTCAACTGCCTTAGTTGATGGAGAGAGAAAAATCCTCCCATGGTCTCCCTGCTGGAACAGATGTGATAAGTTTGACTGTGAAATCCAGTTAGGTTAAGTGCACAACAGAGGATTAAAAACAACTGGCCAGGCGTGGTTGGTGTCTCACGTCTGTAGTCCCAGGACTTCGAAAGGCCGAGGCGGGCGGATCATCTGAGGTCAGCAGTTTAAGACCAGCCTCGCCAACATGGTGAAACTCCTTCTCTACTAAAAATACAAAACTTAGCCAGGCGTGGTGGCACACGTCTGTAATCCCAGCTACTCGGTAGGCTAAGGCAGAAGAATCACTTGAACACAGGAGGCAGAGTGTGCGGTGAGCAGAGATCGTGCCACTGCACTCCAGCCTGGGTGACAAGAGCAAAACTCCGTCTCAAAAACAAAAACAAAAACAAAAACAAGCAAAGAAGGAAATTCAGTTAGGCAACTTCTCCCGGTGCCTATGCTGCCCCACACTTTCTGTAGTAATTTAGAGCTTACTGCCTGGTTTTACTTCCTAGGCAGTGGGACTCACTAGGGAACTCCTGGAGTCAGAAATGGGGCTCTGAATTCTTTTTTTGTTGTTGTTGAAACAGGGTCTCATTTTGTCACCCAGGCAGGAGTTCAGTGGCACAATCATACCTCACTCCAGCCTTGACCTCCCCAGGCAACTACAGGCACAACCCATCATGTCTAGCTAAATTTTTTTTTTTTTTTTTTTTGGTATTTTTTTGTAGAGACAAGGTCTCACCATGTTGCTCAGGCTGGTCTCAAACTTCTGGGCTCAAGTGATCTACCCACCTCGACCTCCCAAAGTGTTAGAATTACAGGCGTGAGCCACTGTGCCCAGCCTCGGGCGAGCTGCTGCTTAGCCACTCAGATCATATCCCTGCATCTTCCAATGGGAACAATGACTCACACTGGAGCCCAAACACTCCAGGCCAAACACCCCAGGTGTCACCAATGCCTCCACCCAATCTGCATTCTCAGGCAGTGACGGGAGGGTGGCATTCACTGCACCAAAGCAATTGCCGGGTGCATTCCAGGCTTAAGGACACAGACTTTCAAGAAGTCCTATGCTGGGCCGAGCGCAGTGGCTCACACCTGTAATCCTAGCTTTTTGGAAGGCCAAGACAGGCGGATCACTTGAGGTCAGAAGTTCGAGACCAGCCTGGCAAACATGGTGAAACCCTGTCTCTACTCAAAATACAAAAATTAGCCAAGCATGGTAGCACACGCTTGTAATCCCAGCTACTAGGGAGGCTGAGGCAGGAGAATCGCTTGAACCCAGGAGGAGGAGCTGCAGTGAGCCAAGATCGCACCACTGTACTCCCGCCTGGGCAACAGAGTCACATCCTGTCTCAAAAAAAGAAAAGAAGTCCTGTGCTGGATGTCAGGGGTACAGGCAGGGAAAGGGACTGCCCGTTCTGGAAGCTCTCTCTTTAGGATGCGGACAGGGCAGAGCAACCCAACACCAGACCTGCCTGACCTGAAAGGCTGGAAGCGGCACATCGAAAGTTTGACCCCTCCTTCCAACCACTCCACTGAAGTCCTGTAGGGGCTTTCCCAGTCCCGCTCACCTTGGCACCCAGGTCCCCAGGTGTGGCTGCCCTGTCAGCCTGAAGCACAGCACAGCGGCCTCCCCCTCAAACATGCCACTCATCCCTTGTGGTCTTCCCTCAGCTCTTCTCGCCAGCCCTGCCTGCCCACACACTGTCCCTGCTCCCGGGAACGCCCTCCCGATCTCAATGCCAAGTCTCAGCTAAAAAGCCACTTCCCCTGGATTCCTCCCCGTTGCCCCCGCCTTGCTCCCACGACACAAGCGCTCCCCATCTCTATACTCATCGCACTTGCACAGGCTTGCTCCGCTCGAGGCGCCCTTTCCCCGGAGCCGCTCACCTGTCTGTCCCTGGGCTGCCTCCTGTTCAGTGCCAGGCACCAAGCAGGCACTTCACAAAGATTTGGGGAATTCAACTGAACGGAGGCACAGAGCAGCATGGTGGTGCAGTCAACGTGTGACTTCAGGGAGCTGGTTCAAGTCCTAGCTCTGCCATGGTGCAGGGACCTCACTTCCTTGTCTACACAGCAGGGGCGGACCGGCCCACGCACAGGCCCCTCCTACCTCTAATACTCAAAAGAATAAGGCAGGGGAATAGACATCTGTTTGCTTGCTTGACTCTGAGCTAGGATTTTATGGTGAGGCGGGTCGCAGCAGTGGCACAGTCTAGCATTTATCGATGGTGGTCCCCGGGCCCTGTCCTCGGTGCTGGGGACAAAGGACAAAGACGAGGCTCTTGTTCTGAAGGCCCTCAGCTTGAATCCTAGCATTCCAAAGCATCTCCCACAACCTGCTTCTCACCTTCCCCTGAGACCCCTCTCCACCCAGGAGGCTCTGGCCAACGTCATCCAGAGGAGACCGTGAGGAGAGAAGAAGTCAGAAAGCCAAACCCAAGGGCCACGCCCAGCAATGGCTTTCTAGGTGGGCCTGGGAAATTCAAGTCAAAGAGAATCCATCTTAGAATCCTCCCTTGCCACCTCCGGAGAGGAAGGTGGCAGAGAAAAGGCCGTGCTGTGCCATCTGGGGGGATGTGTGTCTGCGCCCTGAAAGGCCTGTGAATAAACCCATGATGTACATTTTCCAAGCAGTTGTCTGCAAACGCCTCACAGCTCCTGGCCCATGGATTCCAGCTTTTGGAGACGAAGGCTCAAAAACTGGAAACTCACAAGCCGCATCTGCCCGTGGGTATGTTTTGTTTGGCAGGCAAGGTTTTAAATTTTTTTAAAATTAGTTCCAACATTTAAAAATCATCTGGTTTCATATAAGGATCCAAATGTCCAGCTTCTTTAGAAAAACAGGCAGCACTAGGTAGAATATAAGAGATGCCTTGGGAAGAAAGGCCCCAGGGTCCCAAGGCAAGCAAAGATCTAGGAGATCGCCATCAGTAAGTTGGCGGAGACAGAACCTGAAGCAAGGGAAGCCCAGACAGCCACAGGCCCTAAACCACCAGCCGCAGCCTGTGCAGGCAGACAGAATGTCCTTAGCTGGACACCAGTCCCCAACACTCCCTCCAGCCTCACACTAGGAGCCTCCTTCATTCACATGACTTACTGGCTCCTGCAGGCATTTAGCCAGCAGCCTCTTAGAAAGATGCAGGGCCAGGCCTCATAAACCCACCCAGGGCACAGGCCTCCTTCCCCATAATCTCATCTACCCTCCCTTATACCCAACCAGCTGACACTGGGAATGAAGGCAAAGAGGATGCATCTACCCAGGAGAACAGTCAGAGACTTTCTCCACAGGATGCTCGCCAACTATGGGACGCTCAGTACGACATATTGAATAATTGACAATCCCTCTGATGCACCTTGTGCTTTTATCATTACGCATCTACGTATCGTTTTACCATGTCCAAAAATGATAACATGTCAAAATCTGGGGGAAACACCCTCATAACTTCTGAAGAAAAAAATTCTGGCCCGGGTGCGGTGGCTCAAGCCTGTAATCCCAGCACTTTGGGAGGCCGAGACGGGCGGATCACGACGTCAGGAGATTGAGACCATCCTGGCGAACACTGTGAAACCCCGTCTCTACTAAAAAATACAAAAAACTAGCCGGGCGAGGTGGCGGGCGCCTGTAGTCCCAGCTACTCAGGAGGCTGAGGCAGGAGAATGGCGTAAACCTGGGAGGCGGAGCTTGCAGTGAGCTGAGATCCGGCCACTGCACTCCAGCCTGGGCGACAGAGCGAGACTCCGTCTCAAAAAAAAAAAAAAAAAAAAAAAAAAAAAAAAAAAAAAAAAAAAATTCTATGCAATGAGGAACTCTAAATGACATAAATTGTTATTTTTATTTTAAATATTGTCCATTTGAACAGCTCCATTTAAAAATGGGTTAACTCGCCCTTTTAAAAAGATTAATATTTGATCAACACAAGATACCTAATCTGAAGCTTAAATCTTCCCCCAAAACTAATATGAATCGGGGATCTTTAGGCAACTTCAGAATCTATTGGAAAGGCAGTTGTAACTTTGTAAGGAAAGGGAAAAAAATTATCAAGAAAGTGATTACAGAGTAGAGGAAATACCTGTGTCTTATCTTGCATTTTCTTAAAATCTTCACATGCTAGCCAAAACAAAACATTTTCTTCACTGAATTCTTTTTTTAAAAATTCCTGTGGATACAAAGAAAAAGAGTCACATAGTATTCTACTTCTAAAAAAATAATAAAACAAATGGCATTTCCCTTCAAAGACTGATTTGGTAAAATTCAACAGAGGAGCATGGTCCAATTACCCATCGAAAACTCCACTCTGAAAAGCAAATGAGTATGTTTAATGTTAAAGCTGTAATTTCATATGCATTTGACCTTAATGGTTTTGATGTTGTAAAGAAGAGTACAAATGAAGCAGGAATTTACTCACATTTCTAAGCTGACAATAAATTACCAAAAAGTAAATTAAAGTGGAAGATATATTGGTTCCCTCCAGAGAGTGTTTAAACAAAGTACATGCCTCTAAACTCAGGCTCTTTTTTTTTTTTTTTAAACAAAAGAAAAGAAAACACATTAAGCATGTATAAAGACACCATGACACAACTATTTTAAGTTGGAATTATGTGTGTTTTCTTACAGCCGATCTTGGGCAGTCCATGGCACCGCCAGCTCCTCTGCTGTGCAGAGACCTCCTGAGTTGCAAACACTGCTCACAGTGGCCTGGTGACCAGGAACTAGAAGCCTAGTACCACATGCCACTCCCTCCCTGGGAGCCCCAACAGGGACCAACTGCATGAGGACTCATCCTATTCCTGACCCAAGACTTAAAGACAGAAGTGACCAGGACTCATTCTTGAAATACACACGTGGTCTTCCATTTGGCACTGGGGGCTTCTGCTGGTCAGAAAAGTTATTTCTAGATAGCATCGACAGTTCCCCATCCATCAGCCCTGCTCTCGGAGGTCCCTTTGCCAAGTTCGCATTGCCAGTCTCTCTCAGTCTGTCAACAATGCATTCTGAGAATCCTCCAAGCCCGAGAGAAAAAGCCTTCACATCAGAGAGACCCAGAGCTGGGAATTCCTCATACAGACTCCACCAGTGGGCACGGTACCTTCTCTCTCCTCCCACCCTGTACCCCTCCCACCTCACTACACAAAAACCAGAAACAGGCTGCCCATCTGTGACAGCGTTGCCAACACAGTCATGACAGATGAGAAAGTCTCACCCTCAAGCTGGGATTAACAGTACTAAACTCTTAAGCTGGCATAGAGAGTGCTAAGCCGATACACAATGCTGAACTGGCCTGCTTCTCCCCTGCGTGCATCAGAACTTCCGCACACACGGCATCCATCCCGATTAACAATGAAAAAGACAAACCCTAAATCTTTTCACGCCTTCCGGGTCTTCCAGTAGATTCTCCAGGGATGCCGCCCATTTGGCTGTGCTCTTGAGGCTCTGGTGGCTGCTGCTGGAGCTACCATCGCTGTCGTGGATGTCTGCAAAGCAAAGTTCAGATTGCACATGTGGCCAAAATACGCTGTCATTTTAAGAAATCTGCATGCAGTGGTCGGTACTGCCATCACCATCATGGCTGACATAAACCAAGTTATGTCTCAGGCTCTGTTCTAGGTGCTTAACATGATGGACTCATTCTTGTCACACAACCCTGTAAGGCAGGCACTACTATTTCCTCCATTTTACAGATGGGGTAAACTGAGGCTCAGAGGGATGAAGGGACCTGCCATTTCCCACCAAATCCTTCCCCTACTTTCGTGTCCACTGGCCAATTCGGAGGCAGCCCTCAAGTCGCCCTCAAACCCTCCTCCCAGAGAACCATGATTCAACAGCAACTGCTTCCCCATAGTGCTTTGTGCACAGACTTACAATTATGATGCTCTGTTGTGACTATTTACATGACTGACTCCCACTAGTCTGAAGGCTCCTATATGTCCTCATCTTGTACCTCTAGAACCTAGTTCATTACCTGGCATAGAGATTAAAAAACTCATTGCAGGATTGGACCCACATAATGGTGCAAAATGTCAGAGGGTTGCCAGAATACCCAGGCATCAAGATAAATGTCATTTCAGGCAATAGCTTTGTTTGTTTGTTTGTTTGTTTTTGACAGAGTCTCACTCTGTCACCCAGTCTGGAGTGCAGTGGCACAATCTCGGCTCACTGCAACCTCTGCCTCCCAGATTCAAGCAATTCTCCTGCCTCAGCCTCTCGAATAGCTGGGATTATAGGCGATTAGCAACACGCCCAACTAATTTTTGTACTCTTAATAGAGACAGGGTTTCACCATGTTGGCCAGGCTGGTCTCGAACTCTTGACCTCAGGTGATCCGCCCACCTCAGCATCCCAAAGTGCTGGGATTACAGGCATAAGCCACCGCGCCCAGTTCCTCAGGCAATACTTTTTTAAAAAATCAAAATTTGTGCTAAAAAAATCCAGATGAACAAAATACCCAAATTTTCCAAATTTTAAATAAAGACAGGATCAGTTATATTGATTTTTCCTTTTGCTTCAGGGTCCAATATGGCTCAGCATTACACTGTTATTTTTTCCTGACTTTATTTAAACTTCAGATATTTTGTTCATCACGGATGTTTTTGCATTCATTTTGATCTTTTAAAACACTGCATTAAATGTCATTTATAGGCTGGGTGCCCTGGCTCACACCTGTAATCCCAGCACTTTGGGAGGCCAAGGCAGGCAGATCACCAGAGGTCAGGAGTGAAACCTCATCTCTACTAAAAATACAAAAATTAGTTGGGTGTGGTGGCACGCGCCTGTAATCCCAGCTCCTTGGGAGGCTGAGGCAGGAGAAATGCTTGAACCCAGGAAGCGGAGGTTGCAGCGAGCCAAGATCACGCCACTGCACTCCAGCCTGGGCGACAGAGCAAGATTCCATCTAAAAATAATGATAATAAATACATAAATAAATATCATTTATCCTGATGCCTGAGGTTTTTGGCAACCCTCTTACATTTTGGTACACAGAGAAAATGGATGAAAACTCTTTGCATCTGCACATCTTCCACTGCACTCTCTGACTCAAGACACTGAGAAGTCTCCTGTGGGGGATGGGGAATCTCCAAATAACACACTTCAGATGCTTCTCTGCCTGCGGGAGGAGGGAACAATGAAAGCATGCTTCATTCTATGGCATGTGATCCCTTCCTGGAGTCAAGGAAGAACCATGGAATGTCACTTCAGATGGGGCCAGGTTCAAAACCCAGTTTCCTGGCCAGGCACGGTAGCTGACGCCTGTAATCCCAGCACTTTAGGGGGCTGAGACGAGTGGATCACTTGAGGTCAGGAGTTCAAGACCAGCCTGGCCAACATGGTGAAACCCCGTCTCTACTAAATATACAAAAATTAGCTGGGTGTGGTGGTGGGTGCCTATAGTCCCAGCTACTTGGGAGGCGAGGCAGGGGAATCACTTGAACCTGGGAGGCAGAGGTTGCACTGAGCCAAGGTCGTGCCACTGCACTCCAGCCTGGGTGACAAGAGGGAAACTCCGACTCAAACGAAACAAAACAAAACAAAACCAGTTTCCCCGATTCAAAACTATAGGATCTTGGGCAAAATCTTGTGTATATTTGAAAATCATCCCCCATCTCTTGGGTTATCATAAGGATTCAAAAATGGAAGCACATTAGGCACCTAGCAGCACACCTGGGACACAGTAGACGCTCAACAAATGTGAGTTCCTTTCTCCCCATCCCTAAAATAGCCATCTATCAAGCAAACTACTTCCATAACTAACACTTTTTCCCCACTGACTTTTTTTTTTTAAACTAGAGACATATTTCTATAAAAAAAAAAGTTTGAATCTAGGTGAAAATAAACTTTTAATTAAGAAATCAGCAAGGCCGGGCGTGGTGGCTCACTCCTATAATTCCAGCACTTTTGGAGGCCGAGGCAGGCAGATCACAAGGTCAAGAGATCGAGACCATCATGGCCAAAATGGTGAAACCCTGTTTCTACTAAAAATAGAAAAATTAGCCAGGCATGGTGGTGGATGCCTGTAATCCCAGCTACTTGGGATGCTAAGGCAGGAGAATTGCTTGAACCCGGGAGGCGGAGGTTGCGGTGAGCTGAGATCGCGCCACTGCACTCCAGCCTGGTGACAGAGCAAGACTCTGTCTCAATAAATAAATAAATAAATAAATCAGCAAAGCAAATCACTTGTACATGATATTTTTTTTAAAAACAAAGTCTCCTAAATATTAATTGCTGCAAACAGCTAGGGGGCCACACAGCTAAAAATGGTTTTGGAGAAAATCTGTATCAGAGCACACTGGACTTACTTAATAGTGACAGCTCCTGTGATCTCTGATGTTCTATGGGGGGTCAAAATACACGTTGATTTCTTGATCCCCTGGGACTCCGAATCCAAGCACTTGGGGAAACTACCAGGATTTCAGACATTCACCAGATGATATGAGCTAAATTAGAACCAGGCTGGCTGGGCACAGTGGCTCACGCCTATAATCCAAACACCTTGGGAGGCTGAGACAGGAGGATGGCTTGATCTCAGGAGTTCAAGACCAGCCTGAGCAACATAGTGGGACCCCATCCCTATAAAATATTTAAAAACTAGGCTGGGCACGGTGGTTCACACCTATAACCCCAGCATTTCGGGAGGCCCAGGTGGGCAGATCGCTCGAGCTCAGGTGTTCAAGACCAGCCTGGGCAACATAGAGAAATCCTGTGTGTACAAAAAATACAAAACTTAGCTGGGCATAGTGGCATGCGCCTTTAGTCCCAGCTATTGGACAGACTGAGGTGGGAGGATAGCTTGAGCCCAAGAGTTCAAGGCTGCAGTGATCCATGATTGGGCCACTGTACTTCAGCCTGGATGACAGACCCTGTCTTAATCAATCAATCAATCATCAATAAAGCAGAAACTCAGAAACCCGGCAGGGACCATGCTTCAGTGCTCATTGGCAATAGAGTACACAAGAGAATTATTTGGGGCAAATCCTTTCCTCTAACCATGAAGCAAACTCACTTAAACACATCACCAAATGGAGCTGATGCTTTTCTAAAGTGACCCTCCAGTTCGTGGATATTAAATTAGTTCCCTGTTCTCTTTGTAAATGCCGCAGTGGTAAGCTCCTGAACACTGAGTTTCTTTCCAACAAAGTATAAATCCAATTAAAAGATCATTATTACAAGAAATTTCTGCAGCAGGGTTCATTCTGCCAAGCATTCCACTAATTTACTCTTCTGCTCTTTGCCCAGAGAATACAGTTTGACAATTTACTCCATTTCCCCAGCAGATCTTCTCTTAAGTAAATAAATCTAGAGACACAAGTTCACTGTTCCAGGAACAATCTAGGCAGCTGCAAATTTCTCTTGCCATGGCAGAACCACTTTGGCCATAAGTTTTCAACCTTGGTCTGAAAGGATTCCAAAACTCTGGACACTCTTTTCCATAATAAACCAGACCATGTTTGAGTTTTCACTGTCACACCGTCTTGCAAATAAATACACACAGTAGATTACCATTTAGCCAACAGAGTGTCTGAGAGTTAAGAGAGTTGACCTCACTGTTAGACAATCGCCAACCCCCACCCTTTATTTCATACTCTAATCATTTTTGCATATTAGGTTTGTGTGTCTGTTTTCATTTGAACAAAAAGTTTTACAACTCAAAGCACACTAATGTGGTCCAACCCCACCTCCCCCACCACCTCATTCTATAGACTGGGAAGCAAAAATCCAGAAGATAAAATGGCCTAGCCAAGGTGATGCAGCTAATGAATCACGGGATGGACCCAATACGGGGACCTATGTGGGACATCAGCTGTCCTCACCAGGGCCATGTCTGCAGAATCCCAGGGCTCCTGGGAACACAGTTAGAAAACCGATGGGCCCTTCCATTCCACTGTCTCCTGGGCTAACATCTCCCTTATATCACATGTCATGAAATACATTTACAATGGACACTATTACAGAAGAGCATGGAATTTTCAGGGGTGGGTCAGAAAGTACACCGAGATGGAGTTGCTCTTTATAGCCATGGGTATTGGTTTTCTGGCTTTGGTGCTCTAGATAAAGAGTAATTCCTTCTTGCTTTTGCCCACTTTCTGTCCCCATAAATGGCATAGAAGATCCTTCTATCTGAGATACCCACTCTCTATCTGTCATAAGTTTTTATTTTCTCCAGAAATGTTGGTTTGAATTTTTCTAAGACTTCCTGATTGTCTTTTGAGTTGAAGGCTTTTGGCTATTGCACCCCACCCTTCTAAAATCCATCTTGACTGATATCAGTATAGACAGATCTTGATGAGACAGCATTTGCAAACTCCACTCACCGAGTGGCATCTCTCTTTTCCAAGTCGCTATCCCCAGCCTCCAATATGACTGAGCAGACAGGGATAGCCCTTAGGCCGAGGGCACTTCTGCAACTCAGGGTCCCCTGCCCAGGGGACACACTAAGTAATAAATTCCTAAGCCATCTCAGCTCACTTTAAATGTTACG